TGCTGTGTTGCGGTCTGAAGTTGGCTGCAAGTGTCCACTTACCATCAAATGGACGCTAAGTTTGTTTGGAAACTTGGTTTTATAAAAAATGCCACAAAGCACTTTCTCGTCTTAGTCGTCACGGATGACAACGCATCTACATTTCGAGGATAAATATTTTAAAGTTACTTAGGGTTCAATTCGTGCTGTGCGCCCGTTTGTCACGTTGTAAATTCTAAAAAAAAATTTATGTAATAATAATATAAACCTTATTTTAAGTCAGTAAATTTTTATACAATAATTTTGGTAAGATTTATCATCCAATTCGTCAATCTGAAGTGATATATTGACATAATTTATTTAGAAGTCGTCACATAATATATACGTAGTAAGCTAACGCCACACCTGCGCCTAGTAATAGGCACCCGACTGTCCTATGAGATTTGTCAGCGTAGCTTTTAAAAATATGGTATGAAAATTGATAAATCCATTATAAATCTGATGAAATGAAATTCGCTTTATTTTATGGGACAATCTATTAAATTGATATCATATAGATAATATGATACAATACAGATATCGATTTATTAAAGCAGATTTGGACAGTTTTAAATAAATTAAAACTGTTTACCATACTCATTCAATATATTTATACAATGCATGTTGGTCAATAGACATATAGCATCAACGTTTTCTCTTAATTTTACATAATCTCTTTCAAGAAAAACTGTTGTTACGAAGATGTATATGTCGTAGGATAATAAGATAAACCGAATTTTCCGCAAAAAAATCTGGGGATATCGCGAGAGCAAGAATAATAAGACAAATTGCTATGACATTTCTTAATCTTACTGAAAACAAGATTAGGAATTATGCACCTTTGAACATAACTCTTATTGGTTCTATTTTAGTTTATTGGCGTATAGTTTATGTGTAACGATTTTTTGAAAATCATAGATGTAATCATAGTCTCACTTTTTACAACTTCGACGCTGCAGGAATTGCAGCCCCTTCGCCCTTGTGTAGCAAATCGCAGGCATCCATGCTCACCTCCTCAGCTTTAGCTTATTGATCGCATTCAGCGACTAGCCCAGATAGTATAGTAAATATATAAGGAGAGACTAGCCTCAGCGGCTACGGCACGCACGGGTACCTGTAATTTGTTACGGCGGGCGGGGACTGCTCTCCCTCCGCGCCTACGGCTTCATCAGCATCAACTTTAATTATAAAAATGAAACAATAGGCGTTGTTATTTCTTTTTAATTACTAACGCCAGAACTTCTTGGTAACAACAATTTTCCTCGAAAGAGGAACCAAGAAGTATACTTAAAGATACTAGCTTTGTCGTTTCTTTTCCTTGTTTTCTATAAAAATATAGCACAAGATAACTAATTAGGTGTTAAATACATTAGATGTGTATGTAAAAGAACATATTAGAAATTAATAGTTTCAAACAGATTAGGAGTTTCAAGCAATTTGCTTTAACTAGATTTTGTATCCACTAAAATGTATAACAAAGAGTCAAAAAATAAGTAGCAAATCTAGAATGACGGCTCCGTTGGTGCAGTGGTTTAACTTGAGGTGCGTTGCTGAGGGCCACGGGTTCGAATCTCGTACAGAACAAATAATTCTGTGACCTACAAGTAGCCGTTCTGGGTCTGTATGTTAGTCTTTATGCGATTTATGTTTGTAAACTGCCTCCACGATACAGGAGAAGGTACCAGTAGGGGTTATCGTTTAAAAAAATTATTATGTATCACTGAATTCCACCAACTTGGACCTTTATTCATAACTGGTCTGTTTAGTTTTGAATGTCCCTATGATGAATGAAAACGAGTTTGATCTCAGTAAACAGAGCTAAATCAATATTTCTAATTATCAGCAGATCTATTTTGTTTACAATATTTATAAAATATGTATTTAAAATGGAAGTGTGGCCAAGGGCGGCATGGAGGGCCAGCTGCCTCCCTCCCCTACCCTATAAATATGACCGTTCTCATCACAATCGCTGTCAAGGTAAGACTAATAATAAAAGTGTTAAGCTTAATATTCTCTTATACCTACGCTTTCCCATCTTGTATATATATCTACTCCCCCCCCCCCCCCCCGGCCATCGGTTCTTTGAGATTCAACACCGTTCTTTGAGTATTCATGGTTTAATACTCAAAGATACCGTTTGGCGGAGCACTGTTAAAGTTGAGCTCATACAATAAATATGTACTTTTTTCATAGAGTATACAAAATCAGCCACTAGGGATACAAAAGTCCCCAGGCAGGACAGCGTCTGCCGGGTTTTGCTAGTATTTTTATAATTATTAGACATCACAGAGTATATTTCTACGTGTTGTTCAGTGTTTTATTTATTATTTAATATCTTCTTTTTTCTCATCAGCACGGAAAAGCTTACTGCTGGACATTACGCTGTCTCGTTGCACAGAGGCTTTGTTATAATCGACACGTTTAGCAGGGGTATTGGGAAGCTAATTTGAGGAGGTGACTATTATTACCGTCCGCAAAATAACATGGTGGTAAAAAATATTTTGTGTAAGTGAATTTTTATAGGGCCATAGACATTTACGTCTATCCTCCTTGATTACAAATGAAAACGCAGATGCGTTGTCACCCGTGAGGACTAAGATGGAATGCCTCGTTTCCAGTAAAAAGGTTCTCCGGTTCTCTACACTCACCATACGAAACACAGCAGCATTATCCCCGGTAGGGCCGACCCATTCGTGCTACAACTGTACTACTAATATAACTGCAGCATGGCTCTACCACGTATAAAATGTATTCTATGTGTGAAATAGAAGCTATTCTCTAAAGTATTTTGTAAAATATAGCTGACAGACAACATTTCTGAACATCCAAAAAAAAAAACATAAAAACAATTCATCCTTGACGGATTTGTTTTAAAAACCGTAGATCTGGTTTTTTTAAACGTTACTACCTACACACTAGGATTTTCTCCTGTGTGACATATTTTAAGTCTGACGTAGAGAGTTAACATAAACGTTGTATGAATGAATTCTTGGCGAAAACTAGTTGAGACACATAATTTTATTTTATTAGCTAATTAATTTTAACATCTTTAATATAATGGATTTTCGCAAAATATCGCCTGGTTCTATTAATTATTTTAGCAATTCGTAGCATTACTTCTCTTATTTCTTATTCCGTCGTAAAAAGAGATGTAGAAACTACTGAAAAATTTCAGCTCAGCTTTCAATAGATGCTAGTTAAATCATTCCGCCTACGTCTTCATAAGTGTTTACAAACTTACAAATATATAAGTAACAATTTATACTGTAAGTATAAATTGTTACTTATACTTACAGTACATTTAATACTTTTCAGAGCAACACCATTACTACAAAATTGTACTTTAATTAAAAGTAAAACCCGAATTCGAAGAACTAAAAAAAAATATTTTATACTGAAGTCTCTACCTATAAAAGAATTACTTAAAATATTTTTTTCTTTTAAGTTTTAATTAAAGATATCAAATATTTTTGGGAAACTAAGGATTTAACACAAGCTCAAGGTAACAACTATGATGTCTGAACAGTTACATTAAAAAGTCATTTCCTTTTTTTTTTCTCCAAACTTATTTGGACCACTTTTAAATCATAACCTATTTATAACCAAAATCAAGAAATTCGGTTCACAATTCACGAAGACATCTCGTAACATATAATATACTCGTAACATATAATAGGTGGGGAAAGCATATAGTCGAAATTAGAACTACCTTTTTATTAGAAGTCGTTTAAAAACCTATTCAAATAAGTCCATAGCTTGGAATGTGAAATGCTCGGAGCAAACCTATTTCCCAGAATGCTTTTCCACTCCTTATTTTTTTTTAATCAATTTTACTTCTATCAACTACAACGATTAAATATTCTTCACCTTTTAATTGCGTAGGTTTATTTTTTTGATCGATTACTTCGTTCGTACATTCTATGCGAATAAAATACTAAATAAGCCAAGCAAATCGGTTTAGAACAAAGATTTCATTGGACAGATAGATGATGAGGGTCGTTGCTTCGCTTGAATTGTTCGCCAACCTTAGTTATTATAAAGTCTATAAGTATTTAAAAAATAGTGCTGCTCAACTTCTCCGTTACTCCATGTTTTTAAAGATTGGTCATTATAATGTATGTTGCTACAATAAACCTTTTTATAATATAAAATAATCTGTAGGAATGTAAAAATTAAAATCTTTTCAGAAATAAAAAAAAAATTATTGTTTTCTATTACCTGGTCTTAACGTGTAAATTCATTTACCTACTGGGTGGTGATCTTATAATTTCGTTCATTCATGCGTATCAACTATGTATAACAAATATCCCCCTGCGAGGGGGAGGGAGGCCAATGTTCAGCAGTGGACTAGCCTATCAAAGGTGTGTAGACCATTCAGAGTTACTTTTGCTACGTTGTACCTATAGGTACCTACCTATATCTTTACGAAAATGTTTTAGTAATAGGTTCATAATATGTTTTATTATTAATTCGTTAGAGATTCATAATATTTGTACCTACCAAATTTTTTTTAATTTTATAATAGATTTTATTTATTTAAAAATCGGAACAAATATTCCTCTCACCGAAATGTTTCATACATATTAAAATAAACAAAATTTGTATTGTCACAGACTTAGCGAAAGCGCCATCTACTGAATCGTTAGGAAACTTCTAGGTGGAGTTTTAATGTACAGATAACTCTCGCTTTTTGTGTAGTGTGACCAATTTTAGTGTTGATGTCTTACAATAGATGGCGCTGTAACTATTAACGAAATAAATATTTTTTAACTATAATAATTAATGAATATGCTCCGTGTGTATGTACTTTTGTCTAAATAATAGGTAATAAAATATTCGTTTCCTTTGTTTCAGATAACGCAACACTTCACGTAAATCTGTTAGGGTTCCGATAAACGTATAATTCCAAATGCATTAGTCAAATTCTAAAGTTCCTAAAGCCGCTACTTTAGTATTAGTTTAGTTTTTAGATAACGATAACAATGTATAACTCGAACGAATTCTTACAAAGCGCGGGCGTGAGCCGACACATGCAAGCTACAGGTGAGGCACCTTCACAAAAGACCAGCATGAAACGCAGATCGTGTGAAGTGCCTTTGGGTGATATCTCGTCGAATAATTTTAAGGTATCTTTAGGAGATATCACCAATGACGGTCAAAACTACGATTGTCGGTCTCTTCGGTCGATTAAGTCCGAAGACACTCGGTCTTTACGGTATTACAGACCAATAGATAGTAGGAGTGTGAAGAATTTTCGGTCTTCCTTAGCGGACATCTCAGCATATTCTCTTTCGCGGCCTCCGAGCTATGATCAACTGTCGCGAAGATCGATAGTGGAGGGTCCTGATAGTCAGGGCATCACATCGAGCATCGAAGGTGTGTTATGGTCGGATGAAGAAGAGAACGAGTACTTCTACCACGAGAATGTGACTTCTGCGTGGAACCAAGGTCAGTGATTGTATATTTTATACTTATGTCCTAAATGTCTTACTGCTTTTTTATATTTAATCTGTCCTAAGATTCGCCGTGTGGATATGGTGGTGGCACAAGAGAACCCATTGTCGCATTTCGTCCCGTGGATATCATAAGAGACGGTTATGGGAAATCCCAAAAAAACATTTTTTATAGAATAAGGGTGACAAACGGTCACACAGTAGTAAGCGGATGCCGTGGGCCATAGACATAACATTTATCATCGATTAAGAATCAAAATGCAAATGCGTTGTCACCCCTGAGGACTAAGATGGAATGCCACGTTTTCAGTAAAATGGGTCTCCGGTTCTCTACACTCATCATACGAAACAGCCTTAAACTGCTATTTTACATTGGTATTCTGTGAGAGCGAGGTCCTACTTCGATCGAGCTGACCTTTTTTTTTTGCGCCCGAAGCAAATATGGGCAACCCTCCGGAAAGCGGGGGAGGGAGGCGGTGAATGCTCATAGCATACCACGCAGCCGGCTGCGTGGTTATGTGGAGACTTTTACCCACTAAACACCGCCTTTATGCATTGGCTTACCGATCTGACGAGAGATCTCTAAGCCGTATACGAACGCGACCCTCCTTGGCAGAAAGGAGGGCGCAGGAGCTGACCTATTCGTGCTACAACTAATATAGGAGTAGATGCACCGTGGCACTACCACGTATGTATAAGTATGTACAATTCAACAAAAACTGTTTAAAAAATTAACAAGTTTAAATATTTTATTCAACAGAAACTGTATAAAATGAGGTAAACCGATATAAATTATTAGATGGTTGATAATGATAAATTTATATTAATTAATAAGAATTAGCTGGTCGCTTCCAAGCTGTCTTAAATAAGTTTTGTAAGTAAGTAGTTTGTTTAATCTGTGTTGTATATATAATATTATAATAATTTTACTTGGAAACAAAAGTCGTTCTGTGACTTTTGCAGGTTCTTTCAAAGACAGAGGATTTTTCCAAACCAGTGGTAAAAGTAAAAAATTACTGTTAATAAGAATTACCTTAGTCGCGGTTGCCAAATCGCTTGCCAGGCGTTGCGACTAGGGTAAATATTCTCCCGTGAGATCATCTATGGGGGAGGCCTATGTTCGGCAGCAAACTTTACTTATTTTGTTTTATTTAAAAATCTTTATTGCGTTCCCTTAGAAAATAAAAATGATAAAAGGGCGGACTTAATGTTTAAAGACATTCTCTACCAAATTTTACTAGGTTAGTCAAAGTTTAATAGGTTGTAAAGGTAAATAAGAATTAATTGTAATTTTGCATAAAAATTATTCCAGTCTATCCTAAAATGCCAAAAAAATCTTTTCGATTTCAATTCTGATAGATTCCGATAGATAGCGGATGGCAGCCATGGTCACATGGAGACTCCCCTGTGACCATGGCTCTGAGCTGTAAAGCACCCTAAACGTCTTTTCGAAACGAAAATTAAAAAGTTGAATTAAACGCTATATAATACGTAAACATTCATTTCATTTAATATTTTTAAAGGTTTTAGTTTTTATTTTTGTGAAATTAAAGTTTCATAAAGTTGCCGAAATTAATTAGTATGTTATTTTGATTTAAACTACTTTTACGGATTTTATCGCGTTTAATTTTGCTTTTAATTATATTTATTTTTAATTACCGACGTTTCGGGTGCTTTCCAGCACCCATGGTCACGGGAGACTGAGGTGATTGACGTCCCGATGTCATTGTTAAACCCGACCTTCAGCTTTTTTTATTATTGTTTTATGATCCGATCTATGCAAAATGAATTGAATATGTCCTGAGGTCTTGCAGTGGTATGCTTGGGTTTAGTTTTAATTTTATTGATTATGGCTCCCAAGCAGGTGGTAGTACCCTTTGTTAGCCTCCTTCTCTATTGAAATTAGGATGTTTTTTAATTTCAATAGCCTCACGTATCCTTGGTAGGAATCGGTGTAATTTTGCGAGGATTTGTGGTCTATCAAATCTGATGTAATGGTTGGGGCCGTCTAGGATATGATCACTGGTGGAGCCACGTGTTTAAGGCTGCCGAAAATCCAGTTCCCCGGTCAAACCTCAAACCTATTACGCGAGATATTAACTAAAGTGGACTGTATATGCGATTGCTTCTACGCTTACGTAAAAGCGACTACTATAGCATGCGGTACAATGCACTCGCTCTTCCCTAAACTAAACTATTACTTGTCGAATCGATGAAAGGAATCCTGCTTGACTAGGAAAAAAAACACAGATTGGAGCGGGTTAAACTATTAGCAAGCAGGTATAATTAAGGAATATTGACTCACCGGGGTTTCTTCTTCCTGTCGATCACTATAGCGGCGACTTCCGGAACCTCCTCTGGACAGACACTTCTGGGGCCCCAGTGGTGCGTCAGGAGAGAAGAGTTGGTTCAACGACGACTGCGGCGGGAGAAGAGGCTCGCGCATCGGTCGCGCGTGTCTTATATATCCTCGGCTCGGGTGATTACGCGATGTTCTAGAATCGTCTTCTTTCCCCTCCCACCCCACCACCCCGATGTGTCGATAGGAGGGTACGAATGATATTGTTTGGAAAGGAATAATGATTCTACAAGTTCCTACCGTCAAATAAAAAACGCGAATGGTTTTCCGCGCAACCAATCACAAACTGCAGACTTCCCGGAACGTTGATGCTTTACATCAGCTATATGTTCTTTTACGAGGGTTCTAATAGATCTTTTTGTTTGTCTATATAAGAGTGACCACATTCAAAATCAAGCTTGTATACTGCTGCATCTTGTAGAGGAATATAACACTTGACTGATGGTAGGAACTGACTAATCTTCTTCGGCGGCTTGTAGAATGTTCTAATAGAAGCTCTCTTCAAGATGTAGCCAATCTCGTCTGTGACTCCTATGACATATTATGGTAGTACAGCAGGCACACGCTCGACTGTGGCCGGCTTCACTCGGTCACTGTGACGTAGGCGCGGGACGCGAAGCTTGTTGTCACGCAGAACTTGCTTGACGTGCTGAATCTCGGCGGCCAGGTGTTTGCTGTCACAGATCCCTCGTGCTCTCTGTAACAAAGATTTGCCCACGGTAGCTAACTGTGAAGGATGGTGGTGAGATTCACCGTTTAAATATTGGTTTGTATGGGTCTTTTTCTATACACAGTGTGACCTATGGTGTTGTTAGGGTTTCGATTTTTAATAAGATTATAACCTCTTTTTTATCTCCTCCACCTCATCATATTAAGATTTTTTTAGACCGACTTAGGGACCTTCAAGAAAAGAGCATATTCCTTTTTAAAAGGCTGGCAACGCATCTGCAATCCCCCTGGTGTTGCAACTGTTCATGGGAGGCGGTAATCACTAACTATCAGGTGAGCCATTCGCTCGTTTGCCCCCTCTGCTATAAAAAAATCTCCATACTTAAATACGTCCAAGAGTGACGTCCGCTACTCCTGACATCTAGTTCAAAATTATATTGTAATTAAAAAAGCAATATTACAAAATCACGGCGTTTCATTTTATTTGAAATCCTCATGAAATTGAGGACCAGCGTCATTAACCTCCTTATATAACCTACGAGTATATTCTTCAAAAGGTACTGGTGACAAAGATGTGACAAAAGACAAAAAAAAAACAGGAAAAACAAAAAATATAATTGTATGATCACGCTTATGGATGTATGCAGTGCCACAGTGCCACTAGCGATAATTGTATACTAATATACATATATAATAAATACGGACATACATACCTATTTATTTAATTCTCACGTTTTTAATAACAGAAAGTTGTGAATATGAAAAAAAAATTTTTATTAACCAAGCCGGGCATGACGACGAAAATGCATTTCAAAGGTCCTTAACCTCACGATCATCACCATAAATGATCAATAAGCCTCTGGAACGCATCGTTTGCATAATGATCTGCCCACGTAATAAGTCGACGAAACAAATTACTTTTAACCTTTGAATTTGTTTCTTATAAGTTAACACAAGTTATAATGGTTATGTCCATCTTCCCATCGTATAACGTGGGTGCTTCCTACGACACCCACGGTACTTAAACGATCACTGAGATTTTTTTGGAATTACTAGGGGCTTCCGATAGATGGCTATATCATCGTGTAGATGTCGTAAGAGGTGACGGAGATAAACTGAAACAGAAGATCTGTAACAGCACCTTCCTTATATTCTTCTCTTCCCCAATATTCGACAGTAATATAAAAAACTGCAGATGCTAACCTGCCCGCAAAACATCTTGTCTATAGGTTTTTTTAATAGAATATAGGTGACAAACGAGCACACAGTCCACCTGATGGTAAGTGGATGCTAAGTGGTCCATAGACATCTATATATGTCCATTAAGAATCAAAACGCAGATGCGTGTCACCCTTAAGGACTAAAATGGATGCCTCGTTTCCAGTAAAAAAGGGTATCCGGATCTCTACACTCACCATACGAAATACAGCAGTATTATGCTGTTATTTTACGCTGGTTTGCTGTGAGAGCGTGGTCCTTCCTCGGTCGAGTCGACCCATTCATGCTACAACCATAATAGCTGCAACGTGGCTCTACCACGTTGGAAACTAGGTTCAGCAATGAACTCTTGATGTACTGTAATGATTATAATATGTCAATAAACCAAGTAACGTAACAGATACATCTCTAAAAATTTGTTCTGAAAACAACAACTAACAGCTAAAAAAAACCTTATAATATGTAAAAACGTAGAACTAAAGTTACCTTTCTGTATTCTATATGTCTATCATTATTTTAGCAGCAGTTAAAATTGCAATTAACAATTTCATTGGTATCGTCGATCAATGAACCCGGATTGCTCGTGGCGACTAACTTAATTCACTATGCTTCTATACTATTAAATTAAGAACTGCACTTTTAATTTCACTTTAACTCATTTAATCGCAATCATCCAACATATTTATTTATTTATTTAATCTTCATTATACACCTTATATACTAAGGGATATTAAGGGCGGACTTAATGCCTTATTGC